CCCTGCGCTACATCCCCAGCCCTTAGTATTTTATTTCTTTTGACCCTATTGTAAATGGGATTATTTCTTAATTTACTCTTTGAATTTTCATTGTTAGTGTACAGAAGTACAACTGATTTCCTATTTTGTATCTAGCAACTTAATGCAATCATATATTATTTCTAACAGGTTTTTTGTAGAATATTTAGGATTTTCTACATATAGTGGAATTTTATGCAGCTTTAAGAATGAAAGAAACCCTGCCATATGCTGCAGTCTTATGGAGGACATTATACTAGATAAAATAAGTCAGCCACAGAAGGACACTATTCCAGTGCATGATTCCACTTCTGTGAAACATTGGACATTTTTCACTCATAGAAACAGAGTAGAATAGTGGTTGCCAGGGCTCACACAGGGGAAACAAATTCTGTTCAGTGAGTACAGAGTTTCAGTTATGCAGGATAAGTAAGTCTGAGAGGGGGTCAGCTGTACAACACCGTACAACAATACTGTATGATGCACTTAAAACAATTGTTAAGAGGCAGAAGGCAGAGTCAGGAAGATTACAAGTTCAGGGCCAGTCTTAACGACTTAGTGAGACTCTGGATGAAGAGAGAGAAAGCATTGGGTGTATAGCTCAGTGCTCCCTGGGTTCAATCCCCAGTACCACAAACAGCAATGATAACTACAACAAAAATACAACACAGCACAAAACAAAACAAAACTGCCCAACAGTTTCTGCCTAGGGCATGATTAGACTGAACTGCTTCCCAAATATTTCCTAGTTTGGGGCTTGTTGAGTTTGAACTGCACTGCTTGTGTCACATTCTGTAGGGTGGCGGGAGATCATTTGCTTGCTTTAAGCACAACCATATGTATATTGTTGATTCATTAATATTGGATCATGGCCAACAGCACTATCATTCACGTGTGTTTTTTGTTTTGTTTTGTTTTTCTTCCGGTACCAGGAATTGAACTCATGACCTTGCACTTGGTAGGCAGGTGCTTTTGCCACTGAGCTAAATCCCCAGGCCCTATCATTCATGTCTGAATGAAGCTCTATCATATGTATTTTTTCTCTTTAAGGCAAATTACAGTTGTCTAGTGCTTAGAAGCAGTAACCAGTCCTTCAGCACTATGCCTGGGTGCTATTATAGCAGAAAAATCAACAGAAAAAACACAATTTGAAGAAAAAACCCATTAAATAGAGAACAAAAATTCTACTTGTTCACATTAGGAGCTGATGCCAAAAGTTCGTGTTGCCTTGCTCAACCTTAAGTTGAAATATTTGCACATAGCAGCTAAATTTTTTTTAATCACACCATGCATGTCCCAAAATGATTGGGAAAGCTCCACAAGTATGGACTTGCAGGTTACAAATAAATTTTAGTGGGTAAGTGAGTTTACACACACAGCAGTTCCCCTTCATACAAGGGGGATACATACAAAGACCTCCACCAAATGCCATTAGATAGAAACTGTGGATAGTATTGAATACACATACACATCTTTGGTAAAAGTTAATTTCTGAATTAAATACAGTAAGAGATTAACAACAATAATAAAACAATAATAAAATACTCTAATAAAAATTATATAAATATGATTTTTGTATCTCTCGATATTCTATACTCATCCTTTTTGTGATAACAGGACATGATACAGTGCCTGCAAAATAAGAGGAAGTGAAGAGAATTATAAAGGCATTGGGAGGTAACCTCAGACTGCTATGTAAAGGTAGCTCAAACACTAGTACCATGATGATACCTTGACAGTTGATTTGATAACCAATACAACTACCAAGTGACTGACAGGTAGGTGGTGTACACAGAGTGAATACACTGCACTAAGGGATCATTCTTGTCCTTGGCAGGATGTGAGGTTTCCTCATACTAATCAGAGCACTGTGCAATTTAAAACTTAGGAATTATTTATTTCTGGAATTTTCCATTTAATATTTTTGGAAACTGTGAAAGCAAAACTGGGTAAGGTGGTGATTACTATATATGTAGAATTCAAGAGTATAGATGATCAACTGTATGAGAATTAAGCTAGACTTTACAGCAATTTGAGAAAGTATAAAGCAATGACACATTAATTTTTTTTAGCTCTGGAAGATACGGTTTTCATAAAAGTATACTATTAACATTAACATGTAGTGAATGTTTCCTGGTTATGTTAAAATGAATAAATACTTACAAACATTTTCAGTTTTAATTTTGACTATAATAAAGATCAATAGGGATAGTCTACATAAACCAGTTCTTTGGGATCTTGCATGATCTTTTAAATTAAGACACTTTCTTAGAAAGATTTTAGATTTACAGAAAAATTGAAAAAGAGCGTAGAG